TAAGATCAAATAATATTACATTATGGTTGATGTCATCAAATAATTTTTTATACTGTTGTGATTCCCCTTTCCTCTCTAAATTCTTTAATACGTCTTAATCCCTAGTCAGAATTGCATAGATTTACTGTTTTAACCTGAAATCCTGTCATTTATTTACTTCTTTTATTTTTGTTGGAGAGGATTTTACAGTTGTTGATGTTTGGAGGACATGGGACTGGTGGATGGTTGAGTCGTTATGATATCTATTACAATGACTGCATTATATTAGACAGAGGTGACAACTTTCACTATACCTGTCAGTGTATCTATCACACTTTTTGTATCATTAACCATTATAACTGTTGTCTGTCAATCTATTTTGTTAAAGCTAACTTGTTAATGATCTCTGGCATCCTTGCACATACATTTCTGACATGCAAAATACGGTTGCGGATTTGACTAATTTTGAGGGAGAAAAACAGATTATGTATGTTAGTTGCATGAGGGAGTCTTTGTTATTTTCATTTTGTGTCCGTGGAAATCAAAGACTCTGGTTCCTGTTCAGTAGTCTAATTTTATGAAGTTAACCTGGTTATCCAAGGAAAATTCGATGCAGTTTTGTTGTTTTTTTTATTTATTCTATTTTTGAATATCACTTTGTAAGCATTAAAACTAAATTTTATCAAATAAATATTTGGCTCTCTTCTCAATAATCCAGCATCCCTTGTGTTTTTTGCTCTATAATAGATTAAACATTCTCACATAACTTACATTTCATCTTTATGATGTGAGCTTCGTGAATCTTCTCGTGTTGGAGAGTTACAAACCTATCATTTATTGTTGTTGGAACCTTAATGATACTCCGTGAAACATTTTACATTCTTGCTCAAATACTAGTTTTCGTTATTAGGTTTTGGATGAGTACATTATTTTTAGAAAGAAGCAATAAGCTAATGATGCACAATAATGTCCTTGAATGCAAATTCAGTGTATTTACATGTTACTTTAATTTTTTTTGAAGTGGCTTGTCAGTAAACTATGATATTCAAATGCATGATTTTTGAGTCAAATCATAAATGGCACTTTTTTATTTTTAATTTAAACTATGACAAAGTCCTGCACAAAATCAATGTTTGGTGGCATATACTAAATTCAATTATTTGGTGTGTTTGGTTGCAACAGTTTCAGCACAGTGGAAACGGCTCTCCATAGGCAGTGAACCCCCTCCTGCTAGAGCGTACCACTCTATGTCAGTTGTTGGATCACGGTATTTGCTAATTGGTGGTTTTGATGGGAAAACGACTTATGGTGATCCATGATGGTTAGTCCCTCAAGGTATTCATTGTTCTATCATGATCTACAACTCTATTGCTTTTGTTGTCAAATACTCCTTTTTCAATTGTAGATATTTTCACTGAAAAGAGGGTAATTAATTTTTTTATTTGTTTGCCAATGAGTTCTTTCTTGGAGTACTGTTTTTAAGTTGAATGGAAGGAATATTCTATTCTTTGAACTTTCTATTTTCTTGTACTGTGATTTAATACTCAATCCAGAATCTTCCTCTCTATAAATGTTATTTTTTTAATGGAGATGTTTTATTAGAAAGCTGAAACCTTTCAACCTTAGATGAAAAGGGTAAAAAGAACCTAACTGTTCATAGGCTAAAAGTGGCATCCTAAACTCTCACTTCTTTTGCATGTTTCACAGAAGATCCAATTGCAAATAGATTAACTGCATCTCCACCCAGAAATATTCCTGAAAGTAAGGAATTTGCTTTCAACGATGATTTTCAACCTCAACTAAAGGTATTGGTTAATCTTGTTTTGTTTGCAGACATCTCACTTTGCGATCCATCCCATATTTGTCTTAACTAGTGAGTTTTTTTGTTTTTTAAAAAAATGTGTTTAAGATAGAAAAAAATGTCTTAACTTCTCGGTGCTTTTGTTTGTTCTTAATATTTCTTTTAATTTAAAGACTGTTCATAATTTCAGTTAAAGAAAAAAATTAGTAGATAATACTAGCTTACTAAGCATTTCTGTTGATATATAGTGGAGCATTGTTGTAGTCAATTCTCACCAGTCACTTCTCTAGGTTACTAAATGCTTAAGTTTGCTACTGTGCTATCTCAGTATCAAGACTTTTGAGTTCTTATCTGTTGTTTTTAATCTTTAAAGTGGTTTTCATTTAACATAGTGTTTCAAATCACAATCTTTTCTTATTTTGATTTTGTTTAAATAACAAATAACTTAGGAAAGAATAGAATCGTAGAATCAGGAATTTTCCTACAATGAAAAAATAGATGAAAGAAAGACACCGGAAAATTTAAATGAGTCAACTCACAGAGCAACCTAGTCTTCACAAATATGAAATAGAAACATCCTTAAAAAAAATCCATGACCAGGATCGCATAATGAGGCTGAGGCAAGCCTATCCATTTTCCAATAAAAGTTATGGAGGAGAGCATTATTATGTTTGAAAACACACTTCCATTGACAGAGCACAATGTGCGAAAAATGTATAAGTGCTTCTTTCTAGCTGGGCTGCCTCTAATTCTTTATTGAAATGTATTCTACGTTCAGTCATAAGTATTCATATCTGTACTAAACCAAAAAAACAGCCTAGCTAATTTGTAATTGTGATGCTAAAAGGAAGGAAACAGTTATGACAAATTGATAACAAACTAATTACATACTTGGATTTGGGTCTTGGACTCTTGGTGGTTAAGGTTTTTGTGAAAAATTAAATTTAAAAAAATGGGGAGATAGTGGGGACCAACGAAGATGAATATGAAAGCAGATGTTGATAAAGACAAATCTGTTACGTACCTGAGTTTGGGCCGTAACCAGTAGACTCACTCACACACTCGCACAGATAAGGAACACTGGAAATTTACTGACTATACCGCTGTTATTGAATAGAAAATACTGCACCAAAGATAACAACCAATAACTGGGAGCAGGATCTCCGTCAGTTACCTGAGAGCATAGCCTCTCTTACAAATCTCACACATAAAAACATATCTTTAATCCTAGACTCTAACTTTATTTATACTAATCACTCTCTCCCGAAAAGGTAAAGAATCATAGTAATTATGCCTATTTATTAAGATTATCGGGTAAGAATATCTTCACCCTTATTTACTATATTTAATTTATATTTAATAATATCCTGAGATACGCCCTTAAATTCTAATAAATTTTCCGCCCATCCTAACTGCTGTGTCAGTTAGGATGCTCCTCGCTGCTCACCACCGTTTGGCCCTCTTTCCCTCTTCCTTCTACCGCTCGGTTAAGTCTCTCTCCCCCTTCTATCATCTGGACCGCTCGTTCCCTGTCATTAACCGTTCGGCCATCGTGCTCCTCGTTCCCTGTCACTAACCGTTCGGCCATCGTGCTCCCTCTTCCTTCTACCGCTCGGTTAAGTCTCTCTCCCCCTTCTATCATCTGGACCGCTCGTTCCCTGTCGTTAATCGTTCGGCCCATATCCTCTACCGTTCGGTCCTCTTTCTCTCTTCCTTCTACCGTTCGGTCTT